ACAGTGCCGTCGGAAAGCTTGTAAGTAGAATCGCCAAGTACTTGTTGAACCAGTAGAGGGCCTCTCCATGAAGGAGTAAGGGGGTCGACGTTACGGACCCACTTCATCACGGAGTCACCAACCTTGAATAGACGTCGTCGTGCGACTTGTCGAGTGTAGGTTGATGGATTGATACGCGAGAGAGCATCAGCACGCATCTTCTCCATTACGTTGAGAGTGCTGTCGACCATTCTCTGTCGTTCCCGATCACGACGTCGAGCCTCGAAACGGACAGAGTCTTCGTCGATAGTGTTGCTGACGTCTTCAAACCGTCTTGAGAAGGGCGTTAGAGCATCGAAACCGTAGAATAGCTCTTGAGGACTGTAGCCATATGTAGATCGGGTGTTGATCCTCCGCTGAGCTTTAGTGACATACGCCGGCCACGATTCAGGATGTTCAGCACAGAGGGCCTTCAATGACTTCTTGAGACCAGAGTGTTGACGTTCTAATAGGGCATTGCGATGGGGGCTAGCGACAGGGATACATCTCAAGGTAGCACCTATGCTGGCAACCCAGGCGCGGAAGTAAACACCAGTGAAATAGCGGGCGTTGTCGACTGTGAAAACTCGTGGGACTCCGACCTGATCGATCAGCCTTGCTTCGAGGATACCAGTGATGGTCTTGCTGGTGATGTCGGGAGTTGGAAAGAACCAACAATAACCGCTGCAACAGTCCATGCATGATATGATGAACTTGAAGGGGTGGGAGAAGGATTCCGACACAGACAGAGGACCGACAATATCAAGGAAGCAACAGTCGAGGATCTTCATAGGCCTTGAAGTACTTCTCAATGGGGGACCGATGGGGTTAACGTTGCCCCGACGGCCGGCTGAGAACTGGCATGCGCATCTTGACACCACGTGTTGAACAAGCCGAGAGACACCAGGGATGTAGAAAGCCTTTACTACACTGTCGTGGGTTTGCTTTGAGCGGACATGACCGAGGAAGATGTGGATATCTTCGATAACCGAGTGAGCAAACCCGTTGAGGTAGAAAGTAACGATGCC